TACCGAATCCCTATACATGAGCTATATGTCGCGATATTATGGTCAAATCGAAGCCCGACACACATTAAGGTCATAAAACTCATGTTGAACAAAGCAAGTAAGGACACTTTGTTCGAGTCGATCTAAGTGTAGTGTGACAAAGAGTCCAATCCATAACTCGTAAGACTATCATAGCAAACGTGAACCAAACAAACCAACTAGAAGTGTGCTCCGCTTGGAACACTAACTCGTTTCCAACGAGAAGAAATTGTGGGACCCACTTAAGCATCACAGTATAATAAATCATTTTTTATTGTATAAACAAAATAATAACAACAACAACATTTTAATTTAATAAAAAAAGGAATATTCTATAACTACATACCTAGCTTTACACCTCATAACAACATAAACAGCTCATTACAAAAGGAGTCCAATACCATTGTGCCAAAACCGAGGCCTGTCTCAGCCCACTAAGGTTAGCAAAGTGGCCCACTAAGGAACCTTGATTTGTGGTCGGCTAGGCCTTTATAGGCCCAATTAGGAAGCATTCACTGGGCTTCACATTATGGGCTTGGATGACGTGGCAGCCCACTTCATTTTTTTTTAGTATGGATCGTTTTTAATATTTTAAATAATATTTAATATTTTTCTACAAATTTATCCAACGAAAATATTCTGAGTCATGATATAATTAAATTTACCGCAGCCCACGAGCTCGAACTTTTGAGTAGTTAAAAAACACGTTTTAGATAGTGTCAGTTTAAAAGGACGAGTAAAAATTTATTGCGTTTGAACCAAAGTTTGGTGACCGTGTAAAAAGACGGTGGGGCGTGAAAATTAAATTAAAATAAATAATAAAATTTCACTAGATATTTGTAGCTGGAAATATTGACCGTTTTTTTTTTTTTTTTTTTTTAACGTGGTACAATTATATAGACGTGTTCCAAATTTGACCACGACATCACATATGAATTGGTCAATTTTACCCTTTAGTCTTTTTATTGTGGAAAATATTAATAATTCACCTTCCGTACATGCTTGACTTGGTCAACTTTTAATCTAATATTCAAATTTTATTAAATTTTAACGTATTATTAATAAATTATAGTTACATATATATTATATTAGATATTTGCCTTATTATCATAAATAGGTTTGTTATTTCCATTTATTACTATTTCCATATCCTTGTAATTTATTTGATTATAAATAAGATAACTTTCACACATTTAGGTGTGGTGGATTAATCAAACATTCATAATGTAACTGCTCAAGCGACAACAAATATAAAGAATGTTTTGTTTTGTTTTCCAAGCGATATTATATCCTCATTAACATACCGTCCGATATTTAGCTCTGATATCATTTAGTTTATTTTGGTTTACTTGTCATCTTAGTTCGAACTCATTTTCGAAAATACGTTTATAATTTTAAATTTTATCTTGGACAAAAATAAAAAATAAAAATAAAGTAAACAGTACCCCTAAATAAAATATCCACGTTTCCTAAATAATATTTGGGTACTCAAAATTAATGAGATCGATATTTTTTATTCAAATCAGACGGCTGATAAGAGAGTTGTGATTGGGAGGTCTATGGGAACGGGTGCACGGGATAAAATTCCATTTTTAAAAAATCGTATAACGTATTTTTTAAAACTCATTGCAGGGAGATTCTCACGGATTACGTTCTTTAATTATTTATTCAGTATCCTTATCTGAAAACAATTTAAAAACGAATTATAAATATCCGAAAATAAATTTTTAAAAAATAAATAAAGAATCAAATCCACTTCCGTATCAAAGATGGTCACCTGACTCACCTCGAATAATATAATAAATTCTTTTTTTTTTCCAATTAAAATCATTATCATTTGATATATTATAAAGTCAGCTTCAAAAATCCCATAATAAATTTTTACTTAATTTAGTTATTAACTTTTGGTATTAATTTGGTTATTAATTCGATAATTAATATTCTTATTTATTTTTGTGGTATAAAATGGTCGAGAATATCAGAATTTTGTTTGTCAAGTTGTATTTGTTGAGTGACATTTTGAGTAAACTTTTATTGAGAGACTTTGTAGCGTGAGGGTGAGATATTCACTTTAAACACTTTGATTATTAAGATTGGTTGCTACCCGTGAATGTATAAGAATTTTCTTTTCGAACCACGTAAATTTTTGTTTATTTATTTAAATTCCGTTCTTGGGTGTGTGAGTACATTTGATCTTGCTTCCACTATTGGTACAACAAATGGTATAAGAGCACTAAAGGTTGTAGTATTTTGACGCATGACAGGAATCTTCATCCCAAGATACAAAAAAAAAAAACCACAAACGAAATTTAAACAAAGAGACAGATTTACGTGGTTCAAATAGAAGAAATTATCTTACATCAAAGGGTGGTAACTAGTCACTATAATCAAAGTGTTTATAACTGTATCTCTCATACTCTCACGCTACAAAATCTACGGAGTTTGAATTTCGACCATAATTCTATGTGTTTTGATTTTTATTTTTTACTTTTAACTTCTTTTTTGTTTATTTACCTTATTAGTAACTATTTATCTTGCTAGATGTTTAAATTCGATGTCCACCAACCTACTGAAAAAATATTATTATAACCATAATAATTGTATATACAAAACATTATTGACCAGGATGTATTAATAAAAAATTTATTGACCAAATTTTAAATATTAGATGTGCACTAAAATCAAAATTAATATTATATTAATGTCGATTATTAAAAAAATATTAATTGACATATGATTTTTATTTGTTATTTAGTTTTTTATTTTATTTTGAGTTTAAATAAATAAAAAAATCAATGATTTGTTAGTCCAATTTATTATTAATTTTAAATATGTATATTTTTTATTTAATTTTATAATTATTAATTTAAGTATTTATAAGATAATTTAAAAATCAATTTGCAAATTTTTGAAAATAAATAAATAAATAAATAGATATTTTAAAAACTAACCTTTTAACTTTCACTAAAAATAAAAAAAAATTAAATAAATGATCCAAACAATCCAATTAAAAAATACGAATTGGGTCGAGTTCATCATTTAGGTTGACGATAGAGCTAATATGTATGAATGTTGACTTTTACTCACCTCGAAAAATCTTGTCCACAAGCTACTCCATCTTATTAAGACTTAGAGGTGTTCGTGAATTGAATTTGGATCGAAACACTTTTTAGGTTAACAAAAATTGTATGAGTTGATTTTTTTTTTTTACAACCCGAACAATTAAGTTGAACCTAAAATTCAATCAACGAACACCTCTAAGTCTTACTGAGGTAGAGTAGCTCATGGACAAGATNTTTTTTTTTTTTTTTTTTTTTTTTTTTTTTTTTTTTTTTTTTTTTTTTTTTTTTTTTTTTTTTTTTTTTTTTTTTTTTTTTTTTTTTTTTTTTTTTTTTTTTTTTTTTTTTGTATATAGACAATTTTAACCTTATCTTCATTAATTAATTACGTGTGAAAGCGAAACCAGCCTTTCTTGACGCGGCTTGTGTTGAAAATAAGTAGGAAAAAAAAAACAATAAATATAGTTTTAATGTTTTTTTTTATAAAAAAAAGTCGTTGTAGATAAGTCAACCACATGTAAATATTAATTTAATTATGGAAATTAAGAGAGAGAAAAATAATAGAAAAAAAAAAAAAGGAAAACTAAAGTGGTGGAGGACATGTTTTTGGTATTTATTGCAATTAAAAACAAAGCAGTTGATTTTATTATTATTATTATTTATTTATTCCGATTAAATATTATATTTATTAATTTCTCTGTTGTCCAATTTTTGTTATAACCCATTAAAATTTTTGGTATTTATTGCAATTAAAAAAATCACTATTAAAATTCTGAACAAATAATAATTAAAAAAAAATAGCCTCCATTCCCACTACGTTTAAAAGTCACGAGCTGACAATTAAATTAATAAAATAATGAGGACTAAAAAATTAAATTATTAATAGCAATTGACTCGATTAAAATGTAAAGTTAATTATAAAAAGATTTAAGTTAATTAAGCAAGTTGTTAATATTTAATTAATATTCTCATGTTACTCCAAATCCCTCAATTAGGTCAAAAGGTTTCCAGAAAGTTGTGGTTTACTTTATTAAAGTTGGAGTGCACCACATAATAAATTTATTATTTAAAATAAAACCCCGAAATATTTTCTTTAATTGGCACCAGCTAATTTCCATACTCTTTTAATGTCTTCAACACGTGGCAGAAATTTAAAATGTACCACCCAATTATTAAATGCTAAAATTAAAAAGTCGTGGTCAACTCTCTAGGTGAATTCCCACCGTTGGTTTCGCGATTCGATTCGACGGTTCTCATTTAACGTATTGGATTCTCTATATTTTTTTTTAAAATTTAAGAAAATTAAAATTTATTTTCTATAAATTTATTAAATAATTTTTTTTAACTGATTAAAATAATATTTTTCCTAGAAATTCTGCTACTAAATATTATAATAAAATTAAAATTTTAGACTGAAAAAAAATAATATAATAAAGTTTGGTCAACATTTGGAGTTTAAATTACGAGAATAATAGAATAGCTACACGTGATCCCCACTTTTGGTCAGCTTTCTTTATCAAAACACAGTATGGTTCGTCGTTTTGCGTAATTTTATATATCGGCAATTTCTCGCGATACGGACGATATTTTTTTGTTCATAATGGACATATTCTAGAAGATGGAAATTTTCAAAATTCCAATATCAAGTAGGGCAAAACGCACCGTTTTATTGTTAAATCTAAAAAAAATTTACAAGTCGGGTAATTTTAAAATATTTATAATTTTTGAAATGGATGATTTTTTATGTATATAATTAATTTTTTTTCATACCATAGTATGCCCCACTCTGTACGTTCTTTGAACAAATCCTGACCGTTGGATCAAGAATCAGGTTTGACTTCCAACAAGCTTACCCGGTCATCCGGTCACCTCGAGGGCCATTAAATCATCCCCAACCTCCATCCTTCGGCTTACTTTCTCCGAATACAAATCTTCCTCTTCTCTTCTTCTTCTTCTTCTTCGATGATCTTATTCTTGTAGTTGTTCAGAGTTTTCATCGCTCGGTTTTCTGTTCGATTTTCTTCAAGTTCTCAACTATGGCGGTCGATCTGATGAGTTTTCCGAAGATGGATGATCAGATGGCTATACAAGAGGCCGCCTCGCAAGGATTGAAGAGTATGGAGCATCTCGTTCGTCTTCTTTCTCACAAGCAACCTTCAAACCATGTCGATTGCTCTGATCTGACTGATGCGACCGTTTCGAAGTTCAAGAAAGTGATTTCGCTTCTCAATCGGACTGGCCACGCCAGGTTCCGGCGAGGTCCGGTATCTAATTCGACGTCTTCCTCCTCGTCCGGTTCAGTTCCTCAAAATCAGGCGATGAACATCACTCCTACTCCGTTTACTTCATCGGCGACGGTTTCTGCTCCGTCGTTCACCGCTCCAGTCACCGTCGCTCAGCCACTGACGAAGGTTACTGCGGCGGCGAACTTTCTCCAGTCGCAGCCTCAGAGTATGACTCTCGATTTCACTAGGCCGAATATTTTGAACTCTAACCCTAAGGGAACCGATTTGGAATTTTCTAAGGATACCTTCAGCGTCTCTTCGAGTTCTTCGTTTATGTCCTCTGCTATCACCGGAGACGGCAGCGTATCCAACGGGAAATTAGGAACCTCTATCTTTCTGGCACCGGCTCCGACTGCTTCCGGCGGAAAGCCGCCACTCTCGGCGCCGTCATACAAGAAGAGGTGCCACGAACACGATTATTCCGAAGATTTGTCCGGGAAATTCTCCGGTTCTACCTCTGCTTCCGGCAAGTGCCATTGCTCAAAGAGAAGGTATCAAATCTAATTTCACGTTCTTCAAACTGAATCTAACTTTGAAAGCCAAACAATCAAATATTTCTGTGATTATGATATTCGGAAGAACAGAAACCCTAAACAAAGAACAGAGTTGAGTGGAAAACGAGTTGACTCGTCCGAGTCGGAATAAGGGTTAGTTAGCGAGTGAGTAGGCACGGCACGCGTGATACTGACACGATTTGGTGGTGGTTTAGTAATTTAGGAAAAAAAATAATATCGAAATTCCAAAAATTTCACTTTAAATTTTCAACTTGGCATTAAAGTAGTTTTGTCTCGTTCTTTCAGCCTTTAATATTGACCGTTGACTTAAAATCACGTGATGGACCCCACCACCTTCCCCAACGACGGGTGGATCAAAGATTTTAATAATATTTTCCGAATTCCAATAAATGTTGACCGACGTCGTTTTCTACAGGAAAAACCGTATGAAGAAGACGATCCGAGTCCCGGCGATTAGTTCCAAAATCGCCGATATTCCACCGGACGAGTACTCATGGAGAAAATACGGTCAGAAGCCGATCAAGGGATCTCCATACCCACGGTGAGTTAAAAACAGCAACTCCCGCCGTGTACGGTGGCGATTTATTATAATTTTACCGATTTTAACTCGATAATTGTTAAATTTTCAGTGGATATTACAAGTGTAGCTCGATGAGAGGATGTCCAGCAAGGAAACACGTGGAGAGAGATCCTAATGATCCAGCGATGTTGATTGTAACGTACGAAGGAGAGCACCGCCATACACAGAGCTCCTTGCCGGAAAATATGGCCACCGGAGTAGCTTTAGTTTTTGAGTCAAGTTGAAGTTCAAGCCTGAAGAAAATAAATGGAAAAAAGAAAAAAGAAAATTTGAATTTTGACTTCATTTTTTCTCTTCATGATGATTGTACATTACGAAAAAAAAAAAATTGTTTAATGGAAGAAAGAATCTCTATTCTATCTGCCCAGCGCGTGGCTGCCGGAGTAGAATTAATTTGATTTAATTAATTACTGTCGTGGTCTTCTTTTTTAATTGGTGCGTTTGCAAATATAAACAAAAGTTGGGGTGAAAATGCAAATTTGAAGAGATCTGGGGGTTGATTCGTTAAAGTCTATGAAAAGTCATAAGATGGGGGAATGGTGGTCAGTGATAGGTGAGAGGTTGTCAATCAATCAATTCAAAAATTGGTGTGTGGGGCCCATTGATTGAAAATTCTTTTTTTTTTTTTAGGATTAATTAAAAGTTAGATTTAAATAATATCAATTTATTTTTTGAGAACTGAAAAAGTCTTACTTTATTGAATACTTTATTTCACTTAGTGCGGAAATTGACTTTTTTTAAGCATATATTCAAAGGGCCTTACAAATTAATCAACTTGATGGAATATTGATGTTTATTTATTTATTTATCTATTTATTTTAGAAAGTTTTGGAATAAAATAATATAATAATTTCAAAAAAGTCAAAGAAAAGGGCCAAATGGACTTTTGACTTAATTGGACCATGACCCATCTTTCACGGCGATTTGATTGTACAAAACGAGACCCAGCACCACCCAAATCAACAAATCCAATCTATCACTTGGGGAAAAAAAAAATGTTTCAGATTTGGTCCTTTGATTTCAACAAAATTATAATTTAGTCTTTCAATTTTGAAAATTAAAATTTCATATATATTTTTTTTTTATATATAAATTCTAACTAATTTTAACATTTAAATTCATACAAGGTTTGGACATATTTTACCTAATTTTTTTATAAAAAAAATATTAAAACAAAAACAAAAATCAATGGTTCAATAATATCATCTCGTGCTTCTATCATATTTATGGACTATATATATATATATATATATATATATATTATCTAATAATGGCCAAAATCATGATTGTTTATGGAATCTTTAATGCTTTTTTTATATATATTATCTAATAATTATATGATACATTATTATCCACTCTACTCTTATACCAATCCATGCTTTACACCTCAAAGTTAGGTAAGCCCTCGCCCAATCCATCGACCGATCAACCAACTCATCAATGAATCTTTGTTTTTAATGACACGTTGATTTCATTGTGTTAAAAAACTATCTAAAAGGTAGAACGATCTCAAAGTCTGAATTTAAAATTTACAGGTTGAGTTATCATTAAAATAAACAAGTGAATTATCATCTATTTTGTTTATGTCAATGTTTTTGTTTGTTTTCTATTATTTCTCTCTTTCAACTCTACCGTCAAATAAATAAAAAATAAAAAAAAATAGAAACAATGCAATCCACTAGAGAAAAAATTGTGAACAACTTTTGAGACAATTACTTGCGATTGAAAGTTGTATGAAATATATTTTAAGATTGCTTTTCAAAATTTCAGATATTAACATGAACATAAAGTAAATAAATTATACCACGTGCAAATAAAATGTCCTCAAGATTATTATGAAGGTTAACAAGTGTTTAAAAAACTGATTGTTACTATCTATAGTAACAAATACAAGCGACTCAGTCGTTTTTTTTGCCTGGAGTAATCTTAAATTATATGATAACTCATATGCATAAATAAAATAAAAAAAAAAACTTTTTTTAATAAATATATTTTAAAGATAAAAAATAAAAATGCATTATGATTTTTTAAACCCTAATAAAGTAGGTAAATTATATGGAAGAAAGTTGTTCGAGTTCAATTTCCAATATATATATATTTTGACTATCCACACCTATTTATTATACATGAGCTATATTTGTATCATTTTAAATAATTATTTATTAGTCTATTTTTGGTATATACCACCATTGAAATTTATACTTCCATTCATAATTTCTTATAATGTATTTACAATATTTTAAATTCACAAGAAAAATGCAAATATCATAATTCCACGTAGATATAATCCCTAATAATCTGCAATCGGGCTCCACTATCTCGTCTCCCAAACACTCCGCTTCCTTTTTTTAAGGTTGCATTAATTTGTTATATTTGTGGGTACAAAATGTTTGCTGCTTCCTATCTATTTATGATTTTGTTTTTTTAGTTAAATTACAATTTAGTATTTAAAACTATTTTTTATATCATGTAATTTTGGATGATTAAAAATAGTTTTTTTTTAAATAATAAATAAAAAGCGGTTCAAAAAATAAATTAATAAACATTTGAGAAGTAATTATAAAAAATAAATCATTTTTAAGCGATTAACCAAAAATACTTCAAATATGTAATAAAAAGAAATTTTAATAATTATAACCATGTTTGGATATTAAAAAATAGTAATAATAATTTCAAGTGGAACAGTATTTTAGCTATTTTTTTTTTCTCGTTTTATATATATATATATTATATATATATATATATATATATATATATATATTTTTTTTTTTTTTTTCGATTTACTTAAAACAAAAACAGTTCACAGAGTGTTAGTCCCCCCCTTATCCCCTTCTCTCTTTCTGTCTCTCCATCTTCTCTCTCTCCCTATCAGAAAAGTCGGTACCAATCTGCCGCCGGTTGATGACAACGAACCCTAACCCTTGGGCGTTGCCGGCGAGGAGAAGCAGAGCGGAGGAAGGTTCAGAAATCTCTACTGCGACGGACTTGATCTCCCGCCTGTGAGTGATGGAGGTTTTGCTCGGTTCTCCGACGTTCAGCATCGAAGTCCCGTCGGAGAACTCCTCCGCCGTCGCGGAGACTCATAATCGGGACGGGTCGGGTTTTCGCGAGTCCGGATCTGGTAGTTCGATTGGGGAAAACTCGTCGGAGTCGTCGTCGATTGGAGTTCCCGACGACGATTCCGACGACGACGACGAGGTGCAGAGCAAGCTAAAGGAAGGAGGATTGCTCGGATTGGATTCTCTTGAAGACGCTCTTGTAATCAAGTGAGTTTCTCTATCCCTATCTCTTAAATTTTCGATCTCCTATAACCTAGAAATCGAAAATTGAAGCCGAAAACGGCGATTGAACCCTAAAATTTCCGATTAATCACACGAATTAAAGATTTAATACTCTGTAATGTGATGGAAATCCTCGGGGGGATTGGAATTGTAGAGGAGGCTTATCGAGGCATTTCTCGGGGAAATCGAAGTCGTTTGCGAATTTATCAGAGGTGATTCAAGTGAAAGATTTAGAGAAGCCGGATAATCCTTTCAACAAGAGGAGAAGAATTTTAATGGCGTCAAAATGGTCGAGAAAAGCCTCATTCTACAGCTGGCGAAACCCTAAATCGATGCCTCTGCTTGCCCTAAACGAAGACGAAGAAGAACAACAACCGGCGGATGGTTCCGATTCAGAGGAAAGAAATCGAGAGAGCGACGAAGATGATGATCAAAACGAACGAAGAAGACAAACCCTAGGGCAAAGGTACCACGATCGGAAGCTCGTTAATGGCTTCAAATCAATGAGCTGTTTTGATCTGCAAGAATATGAACAGCAATAACGCGCAGTGTAATGAAATCGTTTGGCCTTTCTTCACTTATTGCTCTGAACAAAAAGAAAAGGAATTTTTTTTTTCTATTTTTCTTTTTTATTTTTTCTTTCTATGTTTCATGAGTCCATGTAGATAAAATTAAAAAATGTATTTGGAAATTATTTCTATATTTTTATTGTTTAATTATCTAATTTTAAAATATATTTTTAAATTGTGTTTGTTTTTATCTCACTTCTGTCCCGTAAATTTTAGCATTTAAATTATTAGTCAAATTAAAAAAATATAAAATAATTGTTTAAATATGTCATGCGTATTCACGTGTCTTGCCATAATCAATTTTAAATATATGTTATGGGCAAATTAGTAATTTTGTTTACTAATTTGTTCCTATTGGGCTTATGGGCAAAAAACTCACCTTCTTACGTTTATTTTATTATTTAATATAAAATGTTCACATAAGGGCAAATTAGTAAATTTACAGTGGTTTGAAATATTCTTTTTTAAAAAAATATATTTATTCCTATTGGGCTGGGCCTTGTAGTACCCACATAACTAAAGTAAACTGGGCCAGGCCTCATCCTAGATAATTGGGCCCAGGGGCCCAGACTAATGATACCGGACATTTACCGCCAATTTTACGTGTGTCGTCCTCTTCTTCTTTCTCTCTTTCGTTCCCATGGCCGATGGTTAGCTTCTCTGTCTCATCGGCACTCATAACCACCGTCGGAGAAGATGCTACGGATGGCCTCGTTATTCAATCATCCGTTGGCTTTTATGCTTACCCGACTCCACGAACGTTTCTTAATGTCCGACTCCTTCTCGCATGGCCACTGCTCGGCCGGAAAGACTCTCCTCGGAGTCGTAATCTCAAGCGGCTGACCTCTCTTGTCGTCCTACTCATTCGCTGGAAGTAGCTCAACCAGGTTATACTTGTTTATTTTGTATGCTTACATTAATTTTTACGTAACTCGACTGCTCGTTTTTCAGAGTGCGAGGAAAAACACTAAGGACTTAGTTTTTTTGCTCATGTTATTGCTTGCGGTTGTATGCGAAGTTTCAATATCATGCCGCGTCTGGACTAAGGGGAATCCGTTGATTTTCTTTCTTCTGTTCATTCTCAGCGTTGGTAGCGTATGCGTTCTTATTAAATAAAATTATATGGTTTCGCGTAACGAATTTGTGTGGAAAAATATTTCGACGTCAGAAACTGAGTGATGATTTCTATTGAACTATATCCTTCTCAGAAATTACATCAGTTTTTGGATTTGAGTTTCATATTGTTCTTTAATTTCTCAGTTATTTGAGGTGATTGAAATTGCGAAGAGACTTTATGGAAAGCTGAATACAATTTTTATGAATGCTGTCCTGGAAGCTTGTGCTCACTGCGGTGATATTGATTTAGCTCCGAAGAATTCCACTGAAATGTCAAAACCAAATTATTGTGGAGTAGACAATGTCAGTTATGGCACGCTATTGAAGGTAATAAATTAAAGCATTCTAAGTTTTAGATTCCTTGATGCATTATTGTTGAGTCATGTGGGAAATCCGTCATTGTGACAGTTACATGGGAGAGTCGTGATGAGTTCTTGTTCCAGTTAAGTCTCAGTCTTTTCTCTGCCAGGGCTAGGGAGAAGCTAGAAAAGTTGACTAAGCATTTTGATTATTTGAATCTGTGGTAGAAGGTACTGCTATTGTAGGTCCAGCACTGTCGGCACCACTTATTATGGTCTTCTAAATGCTTTGACTGAACCAGGCCAGTTTCTACAAGAAGTCATTTCTTAAGCTGCTTACTCAGCGGTTACTGTACTTTATCTGCACTACAAGGCTCATAATAATGTCTTCAGTCCTGTAAGTTCAAATGCTTTATGGCAGCCACATTTCAATTGGAACAATTAAGCGTTGCAGTTAAATTTGGTTGATAGTGTATTAGGCTTGTTTTTAGTTGATAGTGGTATTAAAGAGATTATGGGTGTATATTTTAGCTTCTAGTTAGTGTTTATTTGGCTCGATAGATTTGGAAGCTTTTCTATGAATGATGGTATTGATGTGCAATCTCTTCAACGGAGAGAAGTTTCGGGCTTCTTTATGGTCTTTGGTGAGGAAATATAATCTCAAACAAGTTACTACTTATTTGATACTGTTTATATCCATCAAGAGCGATGCATATACCTTTGTTGTTTTACCAGTCGACACTGAATGTTTCTTCTTCAGCTACAATGGATGCATATATGCTTCCAAATTTATTACGTTCTCATAATAGCCGTAGGAGGATATTTACTCCCCACTGCTCATTCTGGTCTGACCCACAATAATTCATTGCATGTTCTGAAATTTCCTTAGTGGCTCATGCTCCTGTGGGTACCTAGAGCTACAAGTTTGTGCATCTTGATTCACTTTTCAGACATAACCCTTCCATTCATCAATTGTAATACATTTTTTCTTTAGGGTTTTGGGATTCTAAAAGATGTCAATGTAGTTCACAAGATTGTGCTGGAAATGAAGTCTTGTCATGATTTCTTGATTGATTGAACAGCATACACTGAAATGATTGATGCTTTGCTCAACTGTGGCTCTATAGATGGTACGTCATGTTTATACACAACTAGTAAGCGGCAAGATAGGGATTGAATTGTACAGATAGATAATTAGTTTATGCAAATAGACAAATGTCTTTAGTTGAATTGTACAGGATAGAGCAAATGTCTGTATGCATAGCTCCCTTGGTTTTTGGTTGGTGTGGGGTAGTTTACATGAACTTTTGAGCATTTTGTCTATTTGTTTTCGTACCTTTAAAATGTTCCAATTGGGTTAACATGTCAAGCTAATTAGTTTATTCTAACTGTTAGTCGCATGATGCCAAATTCTACCCAAATATCCTAGTGAAGCGACTTTTGAGTATTTGATGATAGAAATGGAGCTTGTTTTGAAGGCAACAATCAACATGTTGCATGATAAACTTGGCCAGATAGTAGTTAATGTTCTTACTGAAGGATGAAGCTAAATTTGAACAGGATTTCAAGGCCTGAAATAAGCTGAGATGACAACACAAAAAGCTAGAATATAGATGTATAATGTCGCAGTTTGATTCAATCGACAAGGAAATGACTAGGAAACTCGTGAGGAAGATACAGATGCATGGAAAGGAGGCCCACATGGTGATGGTCATTATTTATGAGTGGGAGCAAAGCCACATTACATTCATCCAGGTACTGTCCTTCTAGTCCTTATCTCAATCAAAATCTCCAATTTGCCAATTTCTTTCATCCTCCGCTTAGGCGGTCACAAATGGTATCAAAGTTAGACACCGAACGGTGTGCCAGCGAGGGATGTTGAGCCTCAAAAGGATGGATTGTGAGATCCCATATTGGTTGGAGAGAAGAACCAAACATTTATTATAAATGTGTGGAAACCTCTCCTTAGAAAAAGCATTTTAAAAATATTGAGGGGAAGCCCAAAAGGGAAAGCCCAAAGAAGACAATATCGACTCACGATCGGGGCTGTTACAAATAGATTAGTTCAATCAAAATCTCCATTTAACCTATTCCTTGATCGTTCATTTTCAGATGATCAACTTCCTTTGATCCCATCTAAGGTTTTGGAAAGTTACATTTTTGGAGTTTCTCATCATAATAATGGTCATCAGATTCTAGCTTCAAATTTTGATTCAACGCACTTCCTCGAAATGCATTCATGTTCATCCTTGTCCCTCCACCTCCGTCTCTTCACCTTCTCCAGCTACATTTTATTTTCTCTTTGGATTTAATGGGAGTATATAAACCAATCCTGAGCGTGCGAACCACTTTCCTACAAAATTGTAGAAATAGCCATTCCATTTCCCTATTTACTACCATCATTGAAATATACGTCTTTTATACGAAGTCCATAAAGTTATCAAGTTAAGATTGGGTGAGACATTAATAAGATAACTACCAAATTTGTAAGTTAGGTTAAATGTCAATGGAATGGTTAAAGCTTGGTATTGAAGGGCCTTATTATTGGACATTATTTTCCTCAAAGATTCATGCTTAAGTGGACCATCTCCCCTCCACAAAAAGAATGAATATTATAAAATGGCCACGCTTTAAAATGATGGCAAGGCATGATATTTTGGTTAAAAAAGTAGGCCATATTTGACCATAGTTTTTACTTTTCTATTTATTTTATTAATGTTGTTATTTTAATTTTGGGCAACAGGCAAAGCCAACTTGCAAATTAATTATATGGTTTTTGAATAATACATTATAAATTAAATTTAGACGTATAAACCTACATCTTTTATCATGATTATTTTTAAATATTAAAGAAAATTTTAAATAATGCAACATTATAAGGAGATAATGATATTGCAAATTGAACAATTTATGGTTATTCTTATAATTTTCCTACAAGAATTAATAATTTTGAGGACGAAGGGAAAAAAAAAAGAAAAAAAAAGAAATTATCTGGACCACGGGGAAGGGGTAGTGGGCCCAATACTGCGATATCTCACTAAACGGGCCGCTGAGGGCCCATTAAATAGGGCATCAAAATGACGCTTATGCCCCCAGAGCTGGCAACATTATTTTTCATTTCGTACGCATCTTTTAATTTCTTTTCAATAATTCCTGCCACTGACACCGTAGTGAAATCGCGTAATAAAATGATGGGTTGAGACTTCAGAATGATCCTCAACCGTAGATCATAAGCCGTACAGAGCACTCCGATCCGACGGCTGATATCGTAGAAACCGCCATTTCTATGTTCTTGCTGCAGCAGAACGTTTCCATTTTAGTCTTCAGTTGAGCTTGTAAGAAAAGAACCTCTCTGTATCTGTATATTTAACACACTCAAGATCTCCCCATCTTTTCCATCTTCGATCATCTTCCCTTTCTTTCTTTCTTTCACCGCCATATTCTTGCTCGAAAGTGAAAGTGAAGAAAGCGTCTTCAGAAAGTTCATCTTCATCACTCGGTCTTTTGTCCATAATTTTTCCAGAAGAAGGTGGAGACGTGGTAGATTTGAAGTTCGGTGCTGCGATTCTAGCAGGTTCAGTTTCCAAAAGCTTTCCGACTTTTATGAAGTTTTTTGGTGTCT